GCGGCGGCGGCGGCTGCGGCGGCCGCGGTGGCGGCGGCGGGGCGCGCCCGCACTGCGCCTGCGCGCCCGGAGCCGTGGCCCGGGCACCGCGCGCCGCGCCCTGCCCTAGCGGGGTCTCGCGGGACTGGCCCCGGGCGCGCGCTCCTCGGCAGGCCACGCTCCGGACCGTGAGACGGGGGCTCCGGGGGTCCCGGGGGCGCGTGTCCCGCTTTCCTGACCCACGGGACCGGTGCGGCCCTGAGGTCCCCGCGCATCGCGGAGAGGGTCCTCGAGGTGCTTCCGATGCCGCATGGCGGGCACTGCGCGCGTTACCTCGCGTAATTGCCCAGCCGACCTCGGCCCTACCGGGCAGCCGTGGCCTGATTCACAGAGGACCCGACAGCCTTGTCCAGGATTCAGAGTGAGGTCTGGCCAGGGCCACCGCCAAGGTCCTGCGAGGACCCACCGCCCCGAGACCTCACGTTAGTGATGAGCCCTGGGGCAGCGCAAGGGACTGCACCGTAAACATCTGTTGAATAGTTGATGTGCCCGCCGCACCTTTCCTGTTTCATCCACATCTCTCTGGGACTCCGTTCCCACGAGCCCGCGTCTGCTCCCGCCCCTCCTGTAAGGACTTCTGGATGCTACTCAAAATTCCCAGAGACAAGAGGCAACCAGGGGGAGATGGGGCACTGGAGCTATCCCATTCCCACTCCCAAGTCCTGGACTTCCCTTCTCCGGTGTAGAGCCAGGAAGGGTGTCACCCCGCGAGGCAGGGCAGTGTGACTCAAGGTGAGCTGGCAGAGGGAGCAGTGAGGGACAGGCGGCGGCCGGGTCTTTGTGAGAATTCAGTGCCACTGACTGATGAAGGCCATCCACGGAGGCCCGCAAAGCCAGGGGCATAAGGGCCCCGGCAGGACCCCCTGCCTGCCTCCAGGAACGTCCCTCTCCATCCCACCGTGCCTTGTACCCTGCTTTGTAGGGTTGTGTGTGGTTGTCTATCCCAAGGTGCTCTTTAAGGGCAGGGCATGACATTGTATGTACTCCAGGGCCTTAATGTATCTGGGGCATGATTTTTTTTTTTTTTTTAAGATTTTATTTGTAGGGGGACGCCTAGGTGGCTCAGTCGTTAAGCATTTGCCTTCGGCTCGGGTCATGATCCAGCTTCCTGGGATCGAGGCCCGCATTGGGGTCTCTGCTCGGCCGGAGGGCCTGCTTCTCCCTCTCCCACTCCCCCTGCTTGTGTTCCCTATTTTGCTGTGTCTCTCTCTGTCAAATAAATAAAATCTTAAAAAAAAAAAGATTTTATTTGTAGGGGCACCTGGGTGGCTTAGTCGGTGAAGCGTCTGCCTTCCGCTCAGGTCCTGATCCCAGGTCCTGGGATAGAGCCCCACATTGGACTCTCTGCTCAGTAGGGAGTCTGCTTCTCCCTTTGCCACTCCCCCTGCTTGTGCTCACTCTCTCGCTCGCTCATTCTCTCTCTCAAATAAATAAAAGCTATAAAAAAATAAATATTTTGGCGCCTGGGTGGCTCAGTCTTAAAGCGTCTGTCTTCAGCTCAGGTCATGGTCCCGGGGTCCTGGGATGGAGCCCCGCATCAGGCTCCCCACTCAGCGGGAGGCCTGCTTCTCCCTCTCCCACTGCCTGCTTGTGTTCCCTCTCTCACTGTGACTCTATCAAATAAATAAAATCTTTAAAAAAAATAAAAATAAAAAAATAAAGATTTTATTTGTAAGTAATCTTTATAACCAAGGTGGGGCTTGAGCTCACAACCTCAAGGTTGCATGCTCTACCCACTGAGCCAGCCAGGTGCCCCAGGGGCAGGACTTTTAGAGTCAACCAAATATAAAGAACTACAGAGGCTTGCCCCTGAGGACAAAAATGCAGGCCTGTGGGCTCCAGCTTCTCCAGCCTCCTCACCAGCACCACCAGCTCTGTTCTCCTGATCACACTTGATAGGGATGTAGGGCCTGAGCTACTGCTGGGCCTCAAGAGCCGCTCCACACAGCAGGACCCTGGCAGGCCACATGGGGTTGACTTGGTGCTACCCAGCTCAGGCCGGAACCACACCGCCATCAGGAAACATAGGTGATTGGCCCTGGGGCTGGGAGCCACCATGGGTGGAAGCTCACTGGCTAGTCCCCTCATGCCCCCAACACCCCTAACTCCTCAATCCTCACAGGATGGGGTCTGGCTGCCATTCATACGTGGGAGGTGACTGAGAGGCTGATTTATGTCATGCTGCTGTTCTCCCCGCCACGGGGTACACACCCGGCCATTTCTTCCATCTTGGAAGAGGGGACAGGCAGGCGTGAGGCTGCGCCCACCCAGGGCCACCAGAGAGGTCTGTGGGAAGTGAATTAGGGCCCAACTCACCTGGAGGCCAGTGACACTGTGTGGGTGTGAGGGCTGCCTCCTACAAACAGATGGCCCTGGGCCCTAAGGTCAGCCCTCCGGACATGTGATGGGGGTGCAGGGCTGCCCACCTTCTAATCTCTGGGACCTGTGGGGAGGGCAATGTTCCAGACCACCCAGGCTCCTTTGCTGCCCCATCACCCCAGACTCTTCTTCAGAGGCATGGGAAGAGTATGTGAACAGGGTCCTGATCACCTGCAGAGTAACAGGTAGCTGGTTTGTTGGCATGTCTGGGGGAGGCCATCAGGAAAGAGGACGTGCCATGTTGAAACACCCAAGATAGGCAAGCCTCCAGCATCTGTCTCTGGGTCCAGCTGGAGAGCCCAAGAGAGTCCGTGGTTGGTCTCACCTGCCCTAAGTCTGGCTGGCCCCCACCCAGGAACAGCACTGCAGCCTTGCTTGGGAGTGATACTGCAAGGAAACAGGCCCACAGGTTTCAGCATCCCTGCTGGTCCATGCAGCACCATGACCAGCTTCTGAGCTGCCTCTTGGGAGCAGACACCAAGACCTGGCTTTCTGGTCCGTCCTGGCCTTCCCTGGGCCTCCAGTGCACTGCTTCCCACTGCAGCTGGCCACTGCCCTCCTGCTGGCACCTCCCAGATGTCCCTCTTCAGCTTGCACCCTCCACGGGCAGATCTGGGGGCCCCGCTAGCTTCTCCTGGAGTTCAGCCAGCCCCCAAACTGATATTGCAAGGAGGCTCAGGGCACAAGGGGATGTGGTTGGTGTCCAAACGGACTGACTAGCCTTACTCCCACAGGGGTCCAGGCAGAGAGAGAGGCCCATGCCAGGGTCCCCCTAGGATGGACTTTTCCCTTCTCTGTCTGGCCAAGGGCTGCCGACCTGTTTGTTCCAGAGCCTGAGCCCAGCTCTCATGAGGGCCACAGGACAGGGGTCAGCCTGGTACAGGAAAGGACTGGCAGAGAGAAGCAGGGCAAGGGTCCCATCCAGGCAGGCAGGAGCCTAGGGCAAAATTCCAACTAGAAAACTGAGGCAGAAGCTGGACCAAGCAGAGGGAGCTGGTTCTTCCACCTGCCTCACCCGGCCCACTGGGCAAAGGGCAGGAAGTTCCTTCATGCCCCACTTGGTAGGTGTCAGAACTGGCAGCGACGGCAGCCAGGAAGGCATGCCAAACTGACCCTCCTCACTGGGACCCCTGTGGTGGCTTCTCTAGATGGTAGCATCGCAATGCTTCCCAGCTGGCATCCTGCAGCCCCTGGCCCTTAAGGCCCATCTCTGTTCTCAGCCTGCCCTGCACCCATGTGAAACAGGTCCCTGCTCCTCCCACAGGGCGGTCTGTGCTCATGCTTACAGTGGCGGCCCTGGATGTCTGTCCCTGTGGGACACTCAGGCCTCATTCATCTCTGCAGCCTTCTTGCCGAGCTCACTCCCCTTCCTCAGGCTCCATCAGGCTCTCCTGCTTCCCCACCTGTGGAACTTTGGCTTGAGCCGAAACCACAGCTTGAAAGCTCACAGGTCCCGTCTGCCAGAACCCAGTACATTCTTCGTGGGTCAGAGTAAAGCCTCCTTGCAAAGCTTGTCTGGACCCCTGTGCTTCCTCCAACACCATGACGTGCCTTTTTCACACTTCAGACCCACCTGCTCACTTCCCTCAGACCCAGAGCGTGTGGGGGCCACACGCCCCCTTGTCCTATCAACAGCGAGTGCTCAGCGAGACTAGCCTTGACTTGAACGGGGTGTCTGGAGGCCAGCCTTGGTCCTGGCCAGGCCTGTGACCTGACCTCTTCTGGAAACATTTTTTTCCCCACAGAGAGGGTGCCAAGGCTCTGTCCGAGAGGGGTGATTCTGGCTGCTCACTGCCCACCCTTATGCCCACTTCTGCACACACAGTGGGGACACAGGCCCTCCAGGCCCAGATATATACACATCTGCTGGTTCTGTGTCTCTGGAGAGCCCTAATATACCTCCCTAGGGGGCTCCTTCCTCACCTGCCCTTGCCCATGGGAGTGGAGGGGACATCTGCCCCCGCTAAGCTTGGAGGTGTGGAGGGTACAGAGGCTGGGCCCCTCACACAGCAGGGCATGCGAAGCCCAGCCTCCGGAGCCAGCTTCGGGTCCCACCTCGTGGGACAAAGCACCACACTCTTCCCCAGAAGCTCTCTCTACCTGTGCTCACTGAGACTCAGTCCCCCGCAGCCAGAATGCCTTGCAATAAAGGGCTCTAGAACCTGGTGGCTGTGTCTAAGATGACACTCAACAAGGACCCTCTAGGGCCGCTGGGGCCCTCCCTCCACACGGGGTGATGGAAGTTCGAAACAAGGCACTGGGTTGGAAACCAATGTATTTCATCTAAAAGTCTAGGGAGAAAAGTGACAGGTTCTGTAAGCTGGGCGGGGAATGGGAGATACGGACCTCAGAAGTTGAGACTATCCAAAGAGCCCTTCTCTCAAATGCCAAACGGGGATAAGGCCGAGTTGACGGCCGTGGCCCTGCCCACCGGACTCAGGACACTTGGGACCCTCTGGTCCTTCTCACACTGAGGCGGCATACCCCCAAGTGGAGATTGGAGAAAAGGCCGGGGTGGGATGGGGTTTCCTCCTTGGCTGGCCTTCCTGGGGGGGGGCAGGGGAGGGAAACGTGACCTTTGTACTCAGGAGGGGCCAAGCCCCAAGCCAGCTGACCATGGGGAGTTAAGACCCCCAGGCCTCCTAAACTCCAGAAGAAGAGATCCTGACCTGGTCTGGGGGCAGAGGAAGGGGGTCGCTGAGGTCGGAGAATCCATCTGTGTTCTGGGCCAGGAAGCAGTCAGTGACTGCACAAATTCCTGCTGGGAAGTGATGCGGCCCCTCCCTGGTTACAACCCCTGCTGACCCCTGAGTTGACCAGAGTGGCGGGCAGCGGGCTGCTGTGGGGACACCCTGTGTGGCCTGGGGCTAAGGACAGCCAGCACAGGAGTGTCCCAAGCCCAGCAGGGAGGAGGAGGTGGGGAGCAGCCTGGCGAGCATGTTGGACACCTCAGTTCTCCTTGCCTGCTGGGGCCAGGCTCTGGGGGACTGGCTTGGAGTGGCCAGAAGGGGTCAGTGAGGGCCCTGCAGAGGACTCCAGTTTCACCTTGTCCAGGACGGTCTTCTTGATGGAGGCTGGCGAGACCTTCTCCCGGTCAGCCATGGACTGCAGCTCCCTGGGGAGGCAGTGAAGAGGGCTGGCTCCCGGGCTCTGCCTCCCTCCTGGGCCCAGCTGTCCACCAGGGAAGGAGGAGCGCCTGCTGGCCTGGGTGCTACTCTGCTGTCCCTCCCACCACAGCTCCCTCTGCTAGCCACCCCTCCCCAACACGGCCCTCTGTCTGCCCCTCACCTCACTCAGATCAGCTCAGGGCCACCAAATCTACTGGCTGCCCCAGCCCCTGAACCCTTCACGGGACGACGGCTCCAAGCCGAGCCACCAAACCCTGCTGTCCGACCGGCCTCTTCAATTCCTTTCTGCTGTCCCAGAGCTGGGGCGAGCGCACGCACACAGCAGAGCCTCCTGCCGGCTGACTGGCAAATCTCCCCAGGAGGAGGGCAGGGAGGAAGGGGTGACCCAGCCCACAGGGGTTCCCTCTGCTTCCCACTGGCCTGCCTCCCCGGCCTGGATGGTCACCCTGGTGTGCGGGCTGCAGGGGGTGACACTCTGTGGGAAGCACAGCGTGGGCCCACAGGGCAGCCCGTCCCCATGGGACAATGGCTGGTGGCGGGGGCTATAAGCTATGACCCTGGGGGCGCCCCTGCCAGGCCTCGGTAAACATCTGCTCAGGGAACGGCTGAGCAGAATGTGCGAGGCAGCACTGGGGGCCCACCGTGTGCGGATGCAGGAGGCCTCCACGGCGTTGATGAGGAGGGCGCGGAAACCCCCACTCTCCAGGACATGCAAGGCGTGGATGGTGGCCCCGCCAGGAGAGCAGACGTTGTCCTTGAGCTGGCCTGGGTGCTTCTCCGAGTCCAGTAGCATCTTGGAGGCCCCCTAGAGCCGAGCGAACAGCTGCAGGGTACCTCTCCGGCCTGCAGGCCACTGCCCCCAGCCCCAGCCCCCGTGCACCCGCTGATTCTCCACCCATCCGCCCCCACTGCAACAGCATCCGGCCCGGCAAGGAGTGGCTCCCACCAAAGGACCGGGAAAAACACTGACCAGCAGAGCCTGGGCCCCGAGGCGGACCGCCAGGCGCCTGGGAAGCCCCATCTTCACTCCCCCGTCAGCCAGGGCCTCCAGGGCTGTGAATGCCTGCGGGGAGAAGGCAGCTAAACCCCGGCCCTAGGCCCTTCCTCCTTCTCCAAGCAACAGTGGGTCCAGCAGCTCTGCCCACAGCAGCCAGAGCAGGGAGCAGGGTGAGGATGTGCCCCAAGGGCCTGGGAACTGTCCACCACCACCAGTGGCCGCCCATCCCCAGTCCTCACGTAGGCTGGGCCGCTGCCACTGAGCCCCGTGACGGCATCAATCAGGTCCTCCTCCACCTCCGTGCAGAAGCCCACGCTACCCATGAGCTGCTCCAGGAGCCTGCCGTCCTCCACCTGGGCGTGGGTGCCCGTGGCATACACGGTGGCTCCCTCCCGCACCACGACCGGTGTGTTGGTCATGCAGCGGATGACTTTGGGGGCTGGCTGGAACGCCGTCAGCTTCTGGAGGAGAAACCAGCTGTGTCTCTGTACTGCCCCTTGCCCAGCAAAGTGTGCGAGGCATGACTGAACGCGCTCGCGCAACTGAGCATTTCCTGGCTTCTTGCTGTGGGCTGGGCCAATGTGCCCATTTCACAGCCAGAGCTCCTGACCACTGGGCAGCATACTGGCCTGGACCCACAGTGCTCACCTTCTCGATGGAGCTGATGGTGACCCCAGCGGCGCAGGACACCACGATGTGACGATCCTCAACGTCAGCGCCAATCTCGTCCAGGATAAAGGGGATGATGTGTGGCTTCACGGCCAGGAAGAGCACATCACTGTGCCGCACGGCCTCCTTGTTGTGGGGTGTCAGCTTCACTCCCAACTTCTGCAGGGAGCACCAACGTGGGCTCAGCCTGCCGGCGTGGCTGGCTGGCCCCCCCAGTGTCCTCTCCAAGCTAAGAACCCCACACGTAGAAGAGCACAGCGGTTGCTGAGAACGTGGACGGGGGGGGGAAGAACCCCACACGTAGAAGAGCACAGCGGTTGCTGAGAACGTGGACGGGGGGGGGCTCAGGGCATGGAGCTCTGACAGCCCCCAGCCACCCCTCCCACCCTGAGGTGGAAGAAGCTCTCCGCTCCGGAATACGTCCCTTTTGCAAACAGAAAAGGGGTATGTATCCATGCCACGGCCCTGATCCACCCCACCATGGGCGACCGTCCTCCAGGGGTGAGTGGTGTTATGGGTGGCAGGTTCCCAGCTTGACATCCGGAGCCCTGATTCAGCTGTGGCAAACCAAAGCTATATTCAGTCCCCAGATGCGTTCAACCTGGCCCTGACACTGTGGTCCCAACTGCCTGGCTCCCACAGCCCCTGTGGAGGCTCCGTTCGGGGAACCCCACTCCAGTCTGGCACACCCTCCCCACCAGCTGCATGTGTGCCTGTCACCCGGGGCCCAAGAGCCGAGCAAGGGCAGCCACCAGCAGGCCAGGAGGCAGGGTCTGCAGGACGCTACAGCATCTCATGGCGGGGCGTCGCATGGTGTCTCCCACTGGCCCTTTACACCTGGGGCCCTCAGGGTCAAGGCTATCACACACTCTCCCCGGACACACCAACTAGCCCCTTCAGGGGCTGCCTCCCTGTCCCCCTCCACTCTGCACCTACCCTGAGGGCAGAAACGGTGGCCAGGTCCATGTCTGGGGAGCTGGCCATGATCTTGTGGGCAGCCAGGATGCCTGCGGGTAACAGAGATCCTTCCTCAAGGCCTCTCCTGGTCTCCCCCATCACAGCCCCAGGACGGAGAGTGGAAATCCCGCCACCCAGAGTGAGAGCAATTCCTACCCCACCCCAAACATCCCAAGGCTGCCATTTCCCACGGGACTGAAACAGGGCAAGTCTTCCAGACCCGTCCCTCACCCACAGCCGGTAGAAGGGTAATGGCCCACCCCTGCCCACCCCACGGCCTCCGGGCTGCAGGGCCTACCTGCGGCTGTGAAGCCCTTGGCCAAGGCAAAGGCCAGCTGGCCAGCTCCGATAAAGCCCACGCTCATGTTGTCGGGGGCCCCGCCCACAGCCCTCGCAGCTGGCACGGGCGCTGGGGGACGCTGGAGGGGCAGCTGCGGGGCGAGACGGGGCAGGATCCAGAGCCAGAAGCTGCGCGGGCAGCGCCAGGCCTAGCCGCTGGCCCCGCGCCCATCTCCGCGCTCCCACCGCCATCCCAGCCGGTTCAACTTTCCCTGACGCCGCCCGCCCGCTCCGACGTGGCAATCACTCCAGTCTCCCCGTTCACAGTTTGCCCCCGACGCTCCCGGACAGAGGACACAGGGAGGGGCGTGCCGGGCTCCGGAAGGGGTCGGACAGCCGCGGGGGGCGACGGCTCGGAGCCCGGAGGGCCCCCCCCCCCACGTCCGAGCCCCCCACCTCACCCCCAGGCCGGAGCCGGTGTGCGGATGCGCCTCCCCCCGTGCACCGCCCCCACCCACACCTGAGCCCAGCTCGGCGCCCACTCACCCACTCACTGCGCGCAGGTCGCCCGGGAACCGCGGAGCCGCGCCCGCCACGCGGCACCAGAGCCTCGTCGGCCCCGCCCCCGCCTGTTCAACCAATGGGCGGCGCGGCCGCCAGGCGCCGGCCAATCGAGGGGCGCGGGAGGCGCCGGGGCGGTTGCATCATCCTCTCGCCCGGCGCTCACGCCCCCGCCGCCCCGGCCCAGCCTCCCTGCGCCCCCGCCCCGGGTCCGCGCCCCCGCGACCGCGCGTGGGGACTGAGCTCGCCGGGGCTGCGGCTGGCGCGGGCCTTCGAGGAGCGGCCGGGGCGGAGGCTGCCCGCGCGGGGCCTGGTAGTGGGCCACGCGCCCACGGGCACGCCAGGTGGTGTCCTCAATCGCGTGGCCCGTGCTTGCTGTTACTTGATCAAACTGTTTGGAGAAGCCCAAACTGTATAATATTTTTGCTTGCTTGCTTTTCTTTTTTTTTTTCTTTTCCTTTTTTTTTTCTTTGTGGGAGGCTTGAAAACAATTTGCAAAATGGAAACATTTTAAACTATAACACTATTTTTTTTAAAGATTTACTTATTTATTTTGAGAGAGTGAGAATGAGAGAGAGAGAGAGAGTACATGAGAGGCGGGAGGGTTAGAGGGAGGAGCAGCCTCCTCGCGGAGCAGGGAGCCCGATGCGGGACTCGATTCTGGGACTCCAGGATCATGACCTGAGCCAAAGGCAGTCGCTTAACCAACTGAGCCACCCAGGCGCCCAAATATAACACTATTTTGATACTGTTTTCTCACTTTAAAATGTGTTTATTGTGGGGCGCCTGGGTGGCTCAGATGGTTAAGCGTCTGCCTTCGGCTCAGGTCATGATCCCGGGGTCCTGGGATCGAGCCCCGCATCGGGCTCCCTGCTCCGCGGGAAGCCTGCTTCTCCCTCTCCCACTCCCCCTGCTCGTGTTCCCTCTCTCGCTATCTCTGTCAAATAAATAAACAAAATCTTTTTAAAAAAAAATGTGTTTATTGTACCGAGAAGCTTGGACATTGGAGAGGATAGCCTAAGCCTTTTCAGAATCTCAAAATCGGGGGCCCCCTGGGAGGTCTAGGTCAATCCCTTTGAGATCCAGACCCTCTTTTTCCCAACTGGGGTTTTCTCTGCAAGTCTTCCCCCCCACCCCCCCTCCAACCCGGCTCAGGCATGACGGAGGCCATAGCCTCTGTCCATAGGAGGTTTACATGTAAACCTCCCCAAAGAGGTGCTTGGGGTGGGTAGTGATCAACCAGTCAACAGAAGATGAGATCCCATAGTGCCCCCCAGCTCCTGTGGAGCACCCCCATGTCTCCTGACATCTTGTCTGCAGTGTCCATGGAAATTTTTGCCCCTGCATTTGGAGAACAAGTGGTTTTTTCCCTGAGGATGTGCTCAGGGCTCAAGTGAGTTGAGTATTTGGGTTTTAGGACAGTCCAGGGTCCTGGTCAGCAGAAGGATTAAGGGCAAAGTAAGAAGTAATAGTCATTGGCAATCCAACCACCACCACCATCCCCGCCCCGCCCCAGGGGAAGGGGTGACCCGCTTTATGTTTTCAGTTCTGTATCTTAAATGGTAACAAGCTGTCCTCAAACATGATCCAGCATTACCCTGATGTTTGTGCCCCAGAAGCAGGGCTGTGAGCTCTTGTGGACACAGTGGTGGCCACCAACACCAACAGACCAGTGGGTAGTGATGGTGCATGCAAGGTGGATTTCCTGGCATCCACCACATGGGTGCATCTGAACATTTAGTCCTTACCCTCTGAGGGAGGGGCCATAGCAAGAGGCCCTTCTCCAGTTGGCACCCCCAGGATCCATGCCCATCAAACCTCACGACCCGAGTGCTCCCTGAGACTCCAGCCCACCAACATCTGCCCCCTGACCCCACCCTACTTGTCCGAAGTGGACTGTCTGGGGAGTGGTCCAAACTCAAATGCATAGGCATAAATCCAACAGCCCCCCTGAGTATTGCCTGATTGGACATAATCAAAAGACAGAACCCCTTCCTTTAAAAAGTACTGTTTTTCAGTGATAAGGACAAATAACTCCCTCCTCCAAAAAGAAAAGATCCTCCCACTCAGGGAGTGACTGTGGGCAGGAACAACCTAAGGCAAGCCTCCTGGAGGACTTCTGCCATGTTTATCTTGAGCCCTGGGTCCCCTCCTCCTTTGTCTTCCCCACAGGCCCTTTAACGTTTAGGGTAGGTGGAGCACTGGGGGCGCAAGGCCACTGGGCAATGAGGAGACTGGGGAGCTGCTGACCATTTCAGAAGTTTGGCTAGAAAAGGAGGAAGACTGGTCGGCGTGCAGGCCTCCCTGTGAGTTAGGAAGGACACGGCGCATATGCTCATTTGTCACCTGGAGATGGACCCCCTGGCCTCCACTCTCCCCCAACCAGTGAGGGCCATCAGGACACCTCAGGACACACCGGCTCCTGGTCCCTTTGGGGATCGACTGTTGAGCCAATAACACCTGCCCCCTCCAGATAAAGGACCCCTGTCAGTGCACCCTCCCTACCAGGCAGGCGAGTCGCCCCCCTCGTGCTCGGCATGGTGCCAGCACAAGGGAGCCCATGGAACCCATGGCTATGCCCCTCCCGGCAAGCCCCTGCAGGAGTATGGGGTGCTGGTGAACATCACTGGAAGGGGGGAGACCAGCTCGGCATCGCCCTCACCTCCCCACCCCCATTGCCCACAGAGGGAGAGGACAATGCCCGTTTCTTCCTCAGGAGGCTGCCCCTCAGCCCAAGGGGCACCTCCTCCCTCAGTCAGGCCCAGTCTCGGCCAGTCTCCCTGCTCACACTGGGTCACACTGGGGGGATGGCCCAGGAGGTGCCACTGGCCATCGCCCCCTGGGCAGAGACTGCTCACCAGAGCCAGGATGCGTGTCAACATTAGCCTTTATTTCCTGCTCAAGGCCCCAGGACGGGCCACAGGGCTGCTGTACTCAGGGGCAGCCAGCAGCTTGATCTGGGGCGGCCCAGTCCGGGCTCCTGAGCAGGGGAAGCTGGCTGGAGTGCAGCGGGGGACAGCCCCAGTGGGCTCTGGTGGTCAGCGGCCAGGTGAAAGGATACTTGAGCGGAGGTCGTGGGCCTGTGAGCACTAGGGAGGTGCCCAGCGCCCAGGCTCTATGACCCAGTGGCTGCCCCAGGCTGAGCTCTCCCCCTGGGTCAGGGCTGCCCCAGACTCGCCTGTCTGGGGCCCACAGTAGGCACTGCAGAAGCTGCTGCACTGGGGCTGATGGTGGGTGCCTGGTGGGCACTCCCTCCCCGGGCGGGAACCCAGCTTCCCCTCGGCATTCTGCGCTCACTGTGGTCCTGCCAACCCCCTGTGGGCCCCTGCAGGCCCCTGGCACTGTCTCCAGCCTGCTGAAGCTGCAGTGTGTGACCACACCATGATTCCTGTTCTTCTTACAGCCACTCCAATGTGGGCAGGGAGGGGTCCCCATGCCAGGCTCCTTCTCCTTGAGCTGGTACAGAGCCCCCCAGCAGTGCCCTGCTGAGACCGCTGTCCTTCCCACACCCCCAGGAACTGTCCCCTTTTCAACTCTACTTAGGTCACGGCCTGAATGTGGTCTCCAGACACTGGTGGGCACATGGGGCTGCCTCCAAACCCTAGCCTCGATGTCCTTATCTATAAAGTGGGTCACAACAACATCTGCTTCAAAGGTTTCTCATGTTGCAGTGGGTAGCACTGAGCCAGGGAGGGCCAGGAAATGGAGCAAGAGAGAGAGAGAGAGAGAGATACAGACAGAGATAAGAGATACACAGACAGATAGACCAAGAGACAGAGAGAAGGGCTGGGAGCTGCCTGGGGGAGGAGGGTGCTTGCCTGTGTCCTGCTCAGGGCCTTCTGTCCCTCTGTCTCCCCTCCCCCGCCCCCAGCCTGGCCAGAAATCCAGGAGTGGCTCTGGTGGTTGCCTCCCTCGGGCTTGCTCCCTGGGCATCTGGGTTCACCCTGGTGGCCCTCACGGTGCCTGGGGCCCCTGGAGAGCCCTGGTGGGCAGGCAGCTACAAGGTGGGCACGAAGCGGATCCTCTGGGAGTAGGCGAGGTCAGCGATGTAGAGAAGCAGGTTGACGTAGGTGAAGGTGGCCACCACCAGCTGGCTGTCCCAGGAGCAGCTGCCTCGGGGGCAGTCGGGGGGCCGCCCAGGCTCACCGTACTTGGGGTCGAAACAGAAGACGGGCCAGATCACAGCTGCGCTGAGGTACAGGAGCACGGCCAGGAAGGTGTACACCACCACCACACGGTCGAAGGGGCAGCCCAGGCCCCCTGTGCGGCCTGTCACGCTCAGGGCCACCACGGCCACCGTGGCCAGGAAGCACAGGCTGTAGACGGCCACGCACCACTGGGTGGCCACGTAGCGCCCGTAATGGCTGTCGTGGACGAGCGCCCCGAAGATGATGCAGGCCACAAAGGCCTGGACGATCTTGAGGAGCCCCGAGACCGTGGCCATGTAGCTAGCCACCTGGCCCGGCCGGGCCCGTGTCAGGGCTACCTCCGCAGCATAGGCCAGGAAGAGGAGCCCCGCAAAGACGCTGGCGGCCAGGCGGAAGTCCCTGGCTGCGCAGCCCGCGGGCTCGGGGGGGCACTCCAGCCGGGTGAAGTACAGGGGGTAGATGACCGCGGCCGTGGCGGACAGCAGTGTGGCCAGCATGGCGAAGGCTGCGGTGAAGTTGCCCCAGGACAGGTGCAGGCAGCTGTGCAGCCGGGTGAACTCACAGGCCACCACGAGGCCAGAGAGGGCGAAGCAGAAGCCCCACGCAGCCATGCAGAAGGTGCCCTGGACGCCCGCGAAGCCGCCCCGGTGGGCCACCAAGCTGAAGGTGGTGCAGCCAAAGGCCAGCTGCAGTACTCGGGCCGTGCCCACGGGGGACGTCACAGCGCCCAGGTGCAGGTACCCACCCCCGGGGGGCTCCATGGTGCTGCCCATCTGGCCGGCCTGGTCCTCCCCTCGCTGGCTGCCCGGTGGCCCTGGCGTCCCGGCCTGGCCGCGGCCCGGCTTTCCACTGTGCCCGCGGAGACAGGTGCCGGCAGCCTGCAGTAGCGGTGATGAGGACGTCGC